ATTTCAAATCAAAACCAGCACACTTACCTACTATCACAGATGGACGAGCAGTAGGTGGTGATTGTTGGTTGGTGGTCGCTTGGTGGTGGTGGTCCTCACTAATGGTCGCTGGGTTGCAGCGTGTAATGGGTGGTGGTGGTCCTCGATGATGGTGCTTGGATTTGGGCTTCGATTGTTGGGTGGTGGTTGGTGGGGCTGGGTGATGTTGGGTGGTCGTGGGTGGTGCTGTGTGGTCATGGGTGGTCGCGGGTGACGCGTGGTGGTGTTTGGTGGCGTGGGTGGTGCTGCGATGGTGGTGGTTCTGTAATAGTGGTTCTTCAAGGGGGGCTCAAATGACTGGTTTTGGGGGAAGAAGGCGATTAAGCGTGGGTTAAGGCTCAGACCAAATAATTTGGGGGAAATAAGGCAAAAGGGGGAAAGAAAAGTGAAAAATAGAACCAGGGTATTCAACTTAAAAACGTCAAATGGAGTGACGTGTTTAAATAAAAACATCAGTCCATTTGACGTGTTTAAGTTAAATGTGGGTCACAGTTTTTGTGTTAAAATGCCAGTCCATTTTACGTTTTTAAAAAGAATGTGGGTTTGAGAATTACTTTGAAACCAATTGATTATCTGAGAAAAAAGCTTGTGTTTTCACATACCGACAACCATTTGCTCCACCCAAACCCCCACCGACCACCGACAAAGTCCCTTTCTTCATCTCCCTACCTTTCACACTTAAATGCACACACCCGTGCCCATACACACACATATCAGTACACACACAACACAAACAACCACAGAAACTCAGAAAAATCACCATCACTCACGTAGGGACAGAGAGATTTTGTTGCAACTCTATCTCAAATCAAACACACCGAAATACTCAAATTGACCAAATTCAACAAGAAAAAAAAGACCTGGTCTATTATTTTGATAATTGATGATATAAACATAGTTTTGAATTTTGAAATTGATGGAAACATTGGTTGTTGACGAAGAAATCAATCTGTGTGTATTAAGTGAAATAGAGAAGAAAGACAGGTGGGGCGGCAGTGGTGGTGAGGTGGGAGGGGTGACTAGGTCCTGATTTGTAGTTGTGTATGTGCATGCGAGAGAGAGAGAGAGAGAGACAGAGAGGATCATAGTGGGCGAATGTGTGTACTTTGTGTGAAATGAAAAGAAGACGATGAAATAGAGGGAGAAAATGAGGGGTTTGGTGGTGGGCTATGTAAAAAGTTTAAATTTACCGAGCACGTGAAGCATCTACTGACAAAATCACCATGGATTTTGTGACCCACTTGCCACGGACATTGCGGGGAGATGATACGGTGTGGGTGATAGTGGATCGGCTTACCAAGTCGGCACACCTTTTGACTGTGCAGATGACCTTGACATTGGAGGAATTCTGCAGGTTATATATATGAGAGATTGTCCGATTGCATGAGGTACCCATATCTATAGTATCAGATCAGAATCTCAGGTTTACGACTCATTTTTGGGATAGCTTTCAGCGAGCCATGGGGACACAGTTGATGATGAGCACTACTTTTCATCCCTAGACAGACTGTTAGTCAGAGAGGACCATCTAGACGTGAGAGGACATGCTGTGGGCATGCGTCCTAAATCTCAAAGGTAGCTGAAAAGATCATTTACCTTTCATGGAGTTCGCCTACAACAATAGCTATCAGGTGAGCATACAGATGACACCCTATGAGTCACAATATGGGAGGCCTTGTCGTTTTTCGGTTTGTTGGACGGAGGTTGAGAGAGACCCTCTATGGGTCCGGATTTGATTAGAGACACTTCAGAGAAGGTGAACTTGATTCAAAAGTGATTTCTCACAGCTTAGAGCTGGCAGAAGAGCTATGCCGACAGATGGTGACGACCTCTAGAGTTTGAGGTGAGAGATCATGTCTTCTTGAAGGTGATGCCTTCAAGAGGAGTGGTCAGGTTTGGTAAGCGGGAAAAGCTGTCACCGAGGTATATCGGGGCTTTCAAGGTACTCAAGAAGATGGGTACAGTGGCTTACTAGTTAGCGTTACCACCAAATCTATCAGGTGTTCACGCGGTGTTCCATGTCTCTACACTCCGAAAGTATACTCTAGATCCGACACATGTGGTGGATTGGGGTGAGATGATTGTTGATGCGGATGAGACCTTTCGAGGAGGGACCGGTATGTATCATGGATAGCCAGGGAGCAGGTTTTGCAAGGCAAGACCGCGAGGTTAGTGAAGGTGCTGTGGCAGCACCGAGGCATGAAGGAGGCGACATGGGAGCGTGAGGACACTATACGTATTAACTATCCGTTCCTGTTCGAGGATAGAGGTACAAGTTTTACAATTTTAAGTATAATGTCATTGTTGCATATGCATGCGGTTAAGTGTGTATGTGTGTGTGAGAATTTCGGGGACGAAATTCTTTTAAGGGGGGAAGAATATAAAACCCTGTAAATTTAAATTTTTTTACAAAAAGGACAAAACAGTAATTTGTCGCTACAGTACGGATTGAAAACATGAATTTGTCTAGATCTCGGATGACAAAATAGACCTCACAGTCGGATTCGTCTCGCGAAGTCTAGTTATCCTATCAAATTTCACCGAATTTTGAGATAATCAGATTTTTTGCGTTTTACGAAGCGGTCGAGTCTCAGGTGACCCAAAAACGAGATTTTTGATAAAAATTTTAAAAGTTGAAAAATTATTCAAGGTAAGTTAAAATAAACAAATATTTTGAATTTAAACCGGAACGAAATTTAATCGTTTCGAGGCAAAACGGACCCTGAAAAAATAGAGGCGTGTGACACGTTGTGGGCCAAGTATTAAGAAGTATAAATAGGGGGGAAAATCAGATTTTTTCCCATTCTCTTGTCCAGCCATTAGCCCATAAAGAAGAGAGGGAAATAGAGAAAGTTTTCCACCTTTTCTCTACAATCTACGACTCCACGGTGCTCGGATCCATTCGAGCCAAGAAGGAAAGTTGTTCTCCGCAACGTGGGCTACAAAACGATACCAAGGAGGTCTGTTTTGGGCGAGATTCCAAGGATGAGATTTTTGGGAAGAGAAGATTCTAGCTTGAATCGGGTTCTTGGAGCTTTCCAACGTGTTCTTTACGCTTCAAGAGGTAGAGTTCCTTCCTACTTGGGTTTATTTTACAACCTAGGGTGTTGTATGTAATAGGTAGGTTGATAGAGATATATATCACTTGCCTATGGATGTGAAATTGATAGAAATTAATGAAATGGGTTAATAAATGAATTCCTAACTTGGAATTGATATATGTGGTGATTGCGTGTGTGATTCCATGGAATTTGGTGCCTTGGGGTTACGCGAATTTGCCCTAAAATGGTTCATGAAAATTTGTATTATGTGGGCATGCTATGTATTTAATTTATGCTTTGGAAATTAAGTGTGTTATTGACATATATGAAATAACATGCATATGAATTATGGTTGGATATGAACATGTTGATATATGCTCTTTGATATATTAACATTGAGATGAAATTTGGCTATTATATGCATATGATATGAGTGACCATGAAATATAAAAATATATATTAAAGTTGCTCATATGACATTCATTACATGTGGACATGACATTGAAATAGCAATAGTACATTACATTGCATATGCACGGAGACATCGCATTTTATGTGTGTGGATGCATGATTGACATCAAACACCATGTAGATGGATGATGGGTGGGCTTGAAAAAGTTGGATTGAATATCCGGCTGAGTCACACGGTTGCATGAAAACAATTGGGTCAGGATAGCAAGAAAGGCTAGACTATCCCTTAGGTGAAAGACCCGGTATTTCGGATAGGCACTTCCGTTAGTATAAGAGCCTATAAAGTGTGTCGGTGTATGCGGAACAGTTGGTGGAGGTCTATGAATTCCGTGTCGGTTGGGTGACCGTTGGTGTAAGTCTATAAATACCCACTCCAAGAAAGACCCAAAAAATTTTAAAATGGTCATTAGGTGAGTGAGATCAATGACAGGGGTTGAGGAGCTCGGTCTTAATACTCATGACATTGCATGGGGGATAGGAGCCGGTGAGAGCTCGGGTTGAGTTGCATGAGTGGGTATCATCTCATATCATGACACAACATGTTAGATTCCAACATAGATTGATTAGTCTTGATTGGAACGGTTGTTGTTTGTGAAATGTTGCATGTGAACATTGCATATGCACTTAGGTTGAGGAGTAGCTCCTGTAAGAAATACTCTACTGGGCGTAACTCACCCTATACGGGAAAACATTTTAAGTGCGAGATACACGCCGATGGAGAGCCCTTACACGGAGCCTTAGAGATGAAGAAAGCCGACTTGTGGCTTATATAACACATTTTGTGTAATTTTTGAATTTTGTAATATTATCATGACAAATTATGTAAATGAATGATAATGAACTTGTATAAGTGTGGTTTAATGTGGAAAACTTCATTATGCATGTGTTGGGATGATAATGAGGTGATTTGGAGTGGATTGGAAATGAAGAAGGAAGGATTTGCAGAAAAACAGGTAAAATCTTCCGGACGATCGAAGAAAACTTTCTAGAAGGTTGATGAAAACTTTCCGGAAGGTCGAGCAAAAACCTTCTGGAAGATTTTTTAAAAATCTGAAATTTTAAGAATATAGTGCCAAGCCTTCGGCCTATGAGTTCTTGGGTTCTAAGGATATAAATAGACTATAATGAAGTATGAATAATGGTATTTTGCACCATACTTGGATCTAATGATAAAACGAATACGGTTTTCACGTACGGGTTGAAATCTCGGTAAAAGGGGATGCCATTAATGTGGGTCGAGTTGTGCGAATATCACAGTTATTTTTTTTAGGTTGATGGATGATCATCAACTAATAAAAAACCCCGATTTTAGGGCGTCACTGGCCATACATCAGCTGAGTTGGTTATAGCTAATTGGGTGTCCGTGGGGTTTGCGGCTAAAGCCGTAATGAATTTAAGCTCATCTGGTCAATCTACATATTAATCCACGATGACGTAATACACTTGGATTAGGTTAGGCTAAACTCCAGTGTGGGTGGGAGAGGGGTGTAGAAGTAGAGCAGACGGGAAGAGGGAGGGCATTAGTTGAAATCAAATGGCTTGCAGAATGAGGAGAGGAACGTATTGTTGCTTTGAATTGTCTACAATAACATCATATTCTTTTGTACGCCACTCATATCCACTCATCAAATTCAAAAGCTTCTGCTTATTGAAAGAGATTCGTTATGGTTGTCTTCAACTACTTTGCCGATGTCGTAACAGTCGGGTCAATCGCCTTCGCGTGTCATCTGAAAATGCGCATCATTTTGTTGCGGATGACGATATCCACGCACTGTTGCAGGTATGTACGACCGAATGACTTCCCCAACCGAATTCGCTTTTCATTCATAATGGGTTATCTATTTACAACTTAATTTCTTTGTTGGGATATATCTATATATTTAGCTTTACAAATTTGACTCCCTGCATTTCCTTAGGATTTATGTAGAGTTATTGAAACGATAATATATAAATCAAGTGCCAAAAGTGCTGCGATATATCTGTGTTTTTCTCAAAGCACTAGAATTTTATAGTCTCGCCACTTAATTTTAAGCTATTTAGAAAATGTTTAGTTCTAACATTTTCAATTGGTTGCGGCATATTCCATTACAGATATTTCAGTACCTCATAAAATCTGCATCAATTTTTTAAATTTCGGTATGCTCTGTTGCCTTGGTTGGCCCTCAGTGATGCTGAGATTGCAAAATTGGAGACTTAGCTTTTTTTTGTCATTTCTTAGAAGCGTTTGCTAGGGTAAGATGGTTGAACTGCACAATCTCATTTCAACTGACCGTTCAAAAATTCATGACTGTTTTTTGGTTTGTACAGTACATGTTTCCTCTTCAAATTTTTTCTTTCTTTTAAGTGAAAGACATGAAAATTACTACTGTTTTGCATTTAGTGGTAGAGTTTTTTATTTGTATATGTATATATGCCATCCGTATTTGGTAAGTTTTTTCCTGTGTGAGCTTACATCTATTCTTTGCAATAGCTATTCTTTTCTACTCTTGTCTTCCTACTAATGACCTGCTGGTAACGCAATGTGGGGATGGCCGTGAGACAGCCAATTTAATAAAGGTTTAGGTTTCAATTATGGATTAGAACAAGGGGGTTTAGGGAACCTTTTTTTATCTGGCCTAATAAATGAAAGGAACAAAAATCTATGTATGCTTTAACAAGAAGATATTTGAGTGGGACATGGTGGTAGTTAAAGCAGCCTTATGTTTTCATACCACAATGCGGGGATGGCCTTGAGACAGCCAAGTCAATAAAGGTTTAGTGTTCAACCATGGATTAGAACAAGAGGGTTTAGGGAAATTTTTTTTATCTGCCCCCGAAAATTGGAAGCAGTAAAAATATATGTATGATTTAACAAGAAGATATTTGAATGGGACATGGTGGTAGCTAAGTAGCCTTATGTTTTCATACCAGTGTGTATGTGCTTAAATTGTGTTGTTGATTACTCCACCCCCAACTAAAAGAAGAAGAAGATTGCTCTACTTTGAGAGTTTTTCATTTTTTATGACAATTTGAGCTATAATGTTTCTATGAATGATTGGGGATTCTATTAGGTACAATGGTATGCATAGTGAATGCAACTCACGGCTATTCCAACGGCATCTGTAGCAATCCCATTCTCTACACCATCAAAAGAATAAAGCAGCATTACAAAACCAGTTATATGCGTTATGAATTGCAAATGGTTTCTCAACTAATGATGCGTTGCCATATGAGTATCCATCACATGAACGATGAAAGACAGGAAACAAGATTGCATCACAAAATGAGGAAATTGTGTTTGGAGGTTGCATGGGTAGAAGGAATGCCTAAAGTACTTCCTTTAGTTGCTGTCGATAAGGACGGGATGTTTAGAGTGGATGTAGAGTCTTGTTTGGCTAGGTGTGAATATTGACGTAAAAATATGGTAGAGAGATTTGGAGCACTCAATCCAAAAGCACCTATGATTAAGAGAGTTTTTCGTTGGGCAAATTCGAAATGAGAGTTTTTTGGCTAAGGGTTATTCCCAAGGATCAAAATTCCTTTCAGTAGTTGTGGTCAACTTGGAAACAACAACGTTATTGAAATGTTTTGGAAACTTTGAAAGGATGAAAACAAAGAGAAAATTGAAAATTTGTTGGCAAAACATTGATCGAAACATACCAAAACACCTCGAAATATGCCAAAATATCTCGAAACATAGGTATTTTGATTCAATCATTGATTGGTTTCGATTTCCATGGAAACGAAAACGTTTTGGACGTTTCGACAGTTTTGAAGCGAAATTTAGTTCTTTGGACATTCCAATGGCTAATTCTCATTTTATGTTGTGTGTTTTTAACTTGGAAAAACAATCAATGATTACGCAATATTTACTGGATTGGTTGTTATTGTATTGTCCATTGTATTTTGATGGATAAGTGGATTGGGGTGGGTGTATATTAAGGGGAAGTGAATAGTTGGAGAACATTTGGATAAGAGTGATAGGTATACTTGCACACTTTTTGTTTACAGATTTATTTGTTGCAACCTTGACTCAAATTTTTACTTAAATTTGAGTTAACTAAAAAGCTTGATTTAATACAAAACACTCTAATGGAGAAACTCGAAGTTAAAAAAGGATAAACCCAAATTTAAAGGAGATAGAATATGATTATTAGATCTTTAAAGGAGAATGAAATATAACAATTGGTGATTTGATTAAAGGTTTGAGTCTCCCTCGATTTGAGTAAAAATTTAAATTTTCTTTGATTTGATATGGTTTTGAGTGTAGCACTGGTGAAGATTTTTAGAGATTTTTACCCAAATTTTTAATTTGAGTTTGAAAAAAGGGAAAGGGTTGGAGATACTCTTAGTATTTTGTAAAAGCTTCAATTTTTTTCCATTACAATAATGGTGAATGCTATAAAGGTCTGATGCTATGTCTTTGATGATGGCTAGTGATGTTATCAAGATGCAGTCCATTTTTCATAAATAGAAGTTGGGTAAATTGCACTATTAGCCCCTGAGGGTAGAACTTTGGTCCCTAATGTTCCAATTTTTCCAATTTAGTCCTAACCTTTATACATTTGATCAATCTCGTCAATAGTCCTAACTTCTGTCTAAATGGCTGACAGAAGACAGCACGTGAGAGTCGCGTAAGGGGCATTATGGCCATTTCGCCTGCTTTCCCGCCTCTTTCACATCTCCCATAGCCCGTAATTTGCACGTGGACATGTCATCATAAGAACACACCTCTTCACTGGGTTTCAAATTGATTTGGGGCTCTTCTAGGGTTTTCCTCACAAGTGGGTTGAAGACAAAATCATATACCTCCACTTCATTCTAATGGCCTCTTGGTGCAAGGGTCAGTAGTGGGAAGATCAATGATCGATTCCAAATTACGGTAATTAATGTTGATAAAGTGTAAACAAGTTTGATTTTTTAACGATTTGTTCAAAAGAATGAAGTTTGTCAACAATGGTGGCATTGCCAACATGTAAAACTCATAGAAGAACAACGTGTTCCATGTATTTTTGATTTGTTTATGCATGTGGTTCTTTATGGTTGTGGTCCCCATAGGGCTCGTTTGGTTGCCGTATTAGAAATGAATGGATTAGATAAAATAATCCGGTCTAATACAATACAACAGGACAATAGACAAGACTAAATAGGGTATTAGAATAATACGTAATTTTATATAGCGTTTGGTAATACACAATATAAACGTTGAATAATAGTTATTTAATCCAATCGGTTGTTTGGTTAAGGAATTATTTTATAGTATTAATGTTGAATTAACAAAAATATCTAAAATCAGTGTTTGTTACATTGATAACAATTTGATTTTATCAATTGGGAGGTTATAATGGTAAATGTGTAAAATAATATGTTTGAGTTGGATTCTAATACCACCTCTTTTGGTGGTATTAAAATACCTCCACAATACAAGTCTAATATATAAAAAATATACGATAAGTATACGTTTTTGAAATTAATACGATATCAAATTTGCTTACCAAACAAAGTATTAGGCCCGATTAAATAAAAAATAGTACAACCTAATATTTAATCCCCTCATAATACCTCTACCAAACGAGCCCATAGTGTATTAAGATATTATATACCAAGGATTGTGCAGTGGTCCACATTCTATTTTGCAGATGAATATTCTAAGTATTTTACTATCAAATTGTACTATGATGGTGAATTTTAGAAAAACTCAAATATGGCATATGTTGGTGGCAAGGTTGACTTTTTTCATCATAAACATCCAGACCTCGTATCCTTATTGGAAATTGATGAAATGGTGAAAGAGTTAGGATATGGAGAGGAAATTGTGAGTTATTATTTTCTCATACCTAGGAAGGACTTGAATACTGGTCTACTATTTTTGCATAAAGACGCTCAGGTTTTTATGACGTGCAATCGAGGATTGAAATATCGTGTCGAAACGTCCGAAATGTTTTGGATTTTCAACACATGGACACGAAACAAGGGTAAAAAACTAAAATTCCAGCGTTTCGAGTGAAATGTTACTGTTTCGGTCGAAACAGTAATCGAAACAGTAATGTTTTGGTCGAAACAGGGACTTGACATTACTGTTTCGGTCGAAATAGAGACTTGATTCAACTTGAAGTGTCCAGACTTCAAACTCCTTTAGCCAAAAAAAGGGAGAACTTCTTCCCTTGCGACAGCTTCTCCAGCAAAACAGAAGAGAGATAGACAAAAAGAGACAAGCTCAAAAATCGAAAGGAGATGAGGTAGCGGCTTACCAAGGGTCGTCCTCGTGTCCAGATCCAGTCTCCTATAGGTACGATCTTCTTCTTCTTTTCTGTTCTTCTTCTTTGCCGGTGGCTGGTGCTGGTTCTTCTTCAATCTGTCTTCTCTCTCTTCGTTGATCTGTCTTTTTTCTCTTCATCGATTGGAGTCTCAGATCTTCTCTCTCGTAGTCGATCGGAATCTCTGATCCTTTCTCTCTCTGGTTTGTGCGATTGGAATGAAGTGGGTTACCGACTCACTGTTTGCCCTTTTTATTTTGTTTTAATTAACATAAATGTCATTTTAGCCCCTCTTTTTTCCTTTATAATTGTTAAGAGCCCTTATAATTAATAAATAACTTATTATTGTTAATTAACTTATCAAAATAACTGTAATTAATGTTATGGTATATTTAATATATAAAATCAAGTATTTATGTTTGTAAATATTATTCATGTAATATTTTTAATATTAATGAAATAATATTACTTAGTAATTTGATGACACAATTTAAATTAGTAATTTAGTATTATAATAACATGCACATAATAAATTTGTACTCATTTTAATTTAAAAGTGTTATACATGTCATATTTAATTTAAAATGATCATATGTACATGTAAAAATGTGTTTGTTTTACAAAAATTAATTATTTAAAACTAATTGAAGTGATTTTCGCCTCGTGTCAAACATTTTTTTTTGGTCTCAAACTTGATGTTAGCTTGTATAAATGGACATTGGCCCAATAAACTTACTCAATTAATTAATTATTAAGCTTATCTTTTCAAATAAATAGATTGTATTTGTGTTTCTACGTGTTTTCATATTTTTTCTGCTTGTCCATTACGTTTTCGAAATGTTTCCGTTTTCGAGCTGACCGAAACGGTGGTTCGAAATGATATTTCTATCCTTGCGTGCAATAGCCTATATCCACACATTGTTGCTGGAGTCTACATTGAACACAGAACACTGTTTGATGTTCTTGATGGGGAGGAACAGTGTTCAGATGGGTATAAGAAGAATCATTCTGTAGTTATTGAGGAGATCAATGAGGAGGACATGGATAGATAGTTAGCTGATGTGCCAAGTATAGGATATTGGAAGTCACGATCTTTCCCGCAGTATGGTGAGTTTGATGAAGGAAGACCTACCATTGTGGAAGAAGGTCAGGTATGTGTGGAGGACAGTTGCAATGACTGGTTGTTCTTGAGGTAGAACACATGGATAATGATTTTGTTGTTGATGACGTAGGTTAGTGTTTTTCATCAGGTAGGAGATAGGGGGAATGACAGTGTTGTTAATGAGGTAGAACACAGGCAATTATAAAAGTAATGAAACAAATTGTGATGGTTCAGAGTGTGATGGTGACTTAGAAGACTCAGAATTTTATGACAGTGACTATGATTTGGTAGAGGATGATAAGTTGTATGACACCTATGTTGATAAAGATGTTGAATGGGGAAGGATAAGTGGTAGTGGGAATGGTGTGGAAAAGGAGAAATCAACAGTTATGGATGACTCAGTGATTATGCACCATCTGATGAATTGGTAAGCCTAGATGGGTCCTCATCTGATGATGACGTTGTGAGGAAGAGAATGCCTAGGTATCCAGAATTTAGGGCTGAAACTGATTTGAAAAATTGAACATTCAAGTTAGGAATGTTATTTGGGTCAGTTTCTGAGTTCAAGACAGTTGTTAAGGAGCATTCAATTAGAGAGGGAAAGCAGATAACATTCAAGAAAAATGATCGCATTAGGTTTAGCGCAGGTGCATAAAAAATTGCAAGTGGTTGATTTATGCATTTGTTTTTGGATGATGGTAGAACCTTCCAGATTAAGACATTCAATGGTAAGCACAGGTCATTTAAGAATAAACTGGCCACTTCCACTTGGGTGGCTCATATCTACTTGGATGATATCAGGGCTAATCCTGCATGGCTTTTGGAGGCAATGATAAAAAGGGTAATGAAGGAGCATCAGCTTGGTGTGAGTAAGGATCAATGCTGTAGGGCAAATAAACAGGCACAAATACTTGTTGAAGGTAGCCATGAAGAACAATATGCTAAATTAGGTATTCGTTGAAGCCTATTGGTCCTAATTGTGCATTCCCTTCCTTGCAGCCTATGCATCAATCCCATTTGTGGCTATCTGAACTATTACTATTGATCCAACCTCTATCAATTCCTTTTTAAAAAGGGCCTAGCGCTTGAAAGCATCAATTCCATAGGTTATAGCTTATTCAACTTGCAGTGAATTAGGCTATATGATCTTTGCTGACTAACCATGGCAGTACAATCATCATTAAGATGGATGATTTGTCTGAGCTGGAAGGTGAGGCTAGATTTGAAAGACTATACATATGCTGGGATGCATTGAGGAGGGGCTTTAGAGAAGCATGTAGACATGTGGTATGCCTAGATGGATGTCATCTCAAAGGCCCCCATGGTGGACAATTGCTTTCAGCAGTTGGTGTGGATGGGAACAATAGCATGTTCCCAATAGCTTATGCTATTGTTGAGATGGAGGGCATTGCAACATGGACCTGGTCCTTGGAATTTTGGTTGATGACCTTCGTATCAGAAATAATGCTGGGTGGACTATAATGTCAGATAAGCAAAAGGTATGTTGCATTTATTCAGTTCATTTTTTTATGTCTCACTGCATAATATTCAGTTTCTGGTTTGAGTGCATAATGTTGCTTATTGAAATGCTTATGGGGATTGGAGCATGCAATCTATGAGCTGCTCCCAGATGTTGAACACTGGCGTTGTGTTAGGCATCTGTACAACAATTTCAAAAAACAAAAACAAAGCATCTGTCTGTTCCGATAATATATTTTTGGTATTTGTGGCTGCAGAATTTTTTATTTTTATTGTGTTCACGATATAAAATGGACTTTAGTTGTTTGCTGGTTTAAGTTCCATAGATGATTTTGTCTGTTTGCAGATTCTTCCTTGTGATTTGCGCGACAATCTTTTGTGTGAATCCAGACAAGCACAACTATTAGAGGTAATGGAAGTGTATGTTAAACAGTTTGTATGACAATATAATTGTGATAGTCTCGCATCCATCCTCTAATTTGATGCAAAAGTGATACATTTCATGCGCAAGACACTTCTATTGAGAACAAAAATAAAGGAAAAAATTGTCTGATTTGCTAAAGAGCTAATCTTTTGGCAGTTTTTATTTATGGAATCTTTTAGTAGTTGAACATTCGAGTTTATTTTGCTATGCTTGCCCCCTTTACTATAGTAGTAGTCTAGTTAACAAATGAGGGAATGAGTTCGCTTCTATGGGAAAGAGTCCCATCCAGCAGGTCTCCAAGCAATGATCACTCCACTTTATCAACTCTACTTGGATTTGATCATTACTTCCCGATCATTTGGAATAGAGCTTTTTTTCTTCCTTTCGTGTTATCTTACTAGCTGTCCCTCACTTTGGCGTTTGGTCTATCGGTTGACCTTTTCAGCCGCCGACTTGGCTTTACTGCTCTCCTTCCTATAGCTTATGCACACACGTTGTTACATGTTATACTGCGCTTAGTTACCATGAGTCCTTGAAAATTCTCCCTTTTATTTGTCTTCATCCATTAATAATGTGATTGCTTTAGTATTGCCTTTTAGACTCACTGATATTTCTGAGGTACCTAAATGTTGATGATTAAGTGATAAGAAACAAATTGGAAGAGAAGTTGTGCCTGTTATCTAGTAGAGTTATGCACTACTTTCATCATTGCGTTATTGAGATCACCTCGTCTATTGGAAGCTTTCTATGTGTTCAATATCATGTGTAGTGGTTAACCACTTGAGAATCATGTTTAATCCCTATTTCTTTGGCTTCTATTTGGGTCTGTTTATGTAACACCCAATAAAAACTAAAGAAATTGGTGCAATGTCATGTTTTTGTCCATGTTTAGGTCTTGCATGGCATGTCACACGTGAACAAAGATCATAATATCGTTTTGAAATGGTCGAAACATCCAAAAAGTTTCCATTTCTAAGGAAACCGAAAGGAATCAGTGATAGAATCGAAATTCTAATACTTCAACGTGTTACATAATGTTTCAAAATTTTTTATTATATTTCAATGCATTTGCATAATTATTTTGGAATGTTTCAAGATATTTGAAGATATTTTGGTATATTTCGACCAATGTTTTGAAAAAAAAATTCTTAAATTTTTATTTTTTTATTTTGTTTTCGAAACGAGTCGAAACGTTTCTGAAACATGTCGAAATGTTTTCGTTTTTTAGGTGACAGAAATAATACACTGAAACAAAATTTTGATCCTTGCACATGAAGAATGATTTGGTTTACGATTATGTCCTATTGAAGTCCTATTTGATTTTTTTTAAGCAATTTGTTAAATTGCCAATCTTATTTGATACTTATAGGATAAATTTTCCCCTCATCCCAGCCTTTTGGTCAACTGACACGACGACCCCTAGCATTTTCAAATTGCATGATGACCCCTGGGTTTTAATAACTGTGACACAAGGAAGGACCCCTTTTGTCGGTTGGCCAGTCTAATGGAAAAGGAAGATGCCACATTCAAAAATTCAAATATTTCCCAAGTACCTTTACATAGTTGGACTAAAATTTAAAAGACAAATTTACCCCCAAAAATCATTTGAAAAGACAATTCTACCCCAACCGCAATTTAAACAAAATATTTAATTTTACATAAATGATTAACAAAGTATCACCTGGTATTTGGCGGGTGTGCTAGGGTTTTTCTAGTGATAACCTCTATGTGAAGGCATTGTACAATTCAAAAAAATTGAACATTTATTGTGAACACAAAAGAATCAAACCCAAAACATAAAGACACATTAAGCTCAAAACCTAAACTGTATCCTTAATACCCGCACTTTGTAAATATATTCAACAAAGTATCGTCTATTTAAAGATTCTCGTGAAAAAAAATTTCAATGAAAAAATAATGAAAACACAATTTTAATAATCCAAAGTCCATAAATTTAAACAGGAAACCCATAAAATTCATATACTTCAAATTATATCCCTAATTGGAATTCACAGTAGCACCAAACCTATGCCATTAAAAGAAATGTTCGTGTCTGAAGAAACTATGTTATGCTGAACAAACAATTCACCAATATTTAATCAAAAGGTGTGCCTAATAAAACATGCCTTTAATTGTCAAAAGGGATGCTGATCAGTATTGGTGTTCAATATGCTGATCAAAGGTGTGCCTAATAAACGTAAATTGCGATTCTGCCATGTAAAGCAGGAAGAAAATCCACTAATGCCAATTAAAAAATAACAAAATTAAAAACTAAAAATAAGAACTGAAACATGAAAGAGGCCAAAACCAGCATAACATCCTCAATCTTAACCCAAGAGTTAATTTAAATGATATTCAAACATATATAGAACTAACAACACAAACCTAAGAATGAAGTTGGTCCCGCTGAAGAAGATTAGACAACTTCAAATTCTTGACCAAATAACTTAGTTCAATATTTTAGATCAATAATTAACATCAACCCAAATCTAAACATGAAAGGAATTTTTGAGCCCAAAGAAAAGATGCCAAATTGAGCAAAAAAAAAAAAAAAAAAACCCTTCCAATCTTGTGCTTTAACCCAAAGCACAAAACTATCTATTTCTACCCAAAACACAGAACAACTATCCACAGTTGGCATTGAATTAAATAAAATAGATTGGTAATTGGATTGGATAATCACTCTATAATGGCAGTTCTCTTTTCTAGCAATGACTCCATAAACATTGAACACAATTTGGTGAGAGGAGGAAGGTTATGAGATGATCCACTGCATATGGTTTCCCATGGCCTTACAGATGGTACAAATGAAACCTCTGGAGTCTGATTTCTCTTTAAGTTGAATTTAGACAGTTCCCATATATAGTTGCATATCTAAATTGCTTTGTTGGGAAAAAAAGGCAAACAATTAAAGGCAAATATCAAAATGCCTTGATTATTTAGATTGTTAGCATAATGGATCTCTAATATAGCAAGATACGCCAAAACAGTGTGCCTACAGCTTCAATTAAAAAGGGAAAAATGACAGGATCAACAACGTGAAGTTATGGAGTAGTAGATACTATGATACATCAATACGGAAGCCTTACCTGTTTCGTCAATGCCAAAATGACTTCTCCAGGTTTTCCATCTGTAATATCTTTTGGGGATCTAGGACTTCTTTTAATAAAAGTAAGTCCATCTCCCTTGGCTTGTACAAAAAGCATAAAATAGTCAAAATGTGATACAAACTATTCTCACTGTCATCATTAGCTAAAACTGTTGTTATATTCAATTAGCATTTCTGCACATGGGTTAATGTTTTGGGGCTACAGCGATCAAGAACTTATATCACCGCTTCTGACTGCCAACACAATGACTGACCAAATGAATTATTCAGTGCAAAATTTGGTCAAAAATACTAAAACCGCAATTTCACAAACACTTTGAAGCAATTTAATTAAACACGCTCACACTCAAAAAAAAAAAAAGGAGAGGGGGGAGAGAATCACATCTGAGTGAGTCATCGATTGTACCACCATTTGTCGG